GAATTACATTGTTTGATTACACACAATTGTATGATAAAATATACAAAATATACTGATAGATAGTTATCATGAGTGTCAGGATAGCAGTTATACTAAGGGGTGGAGGGAGTGGGCTGTGATTGTATGGATCACAGAAAGCCTTCTGAATTGGCTGGCAAATTTTTGTGTTTTGAATTGGATAGTGATTACAACTGTGTTTCCCTCTCATAAGTCAAAAGTTATAATTTCATTTTATGTGCTTCTCTATATTGTGCTATATTTTACAATTAGAAAGGCTTAAAGGAGGAAAAGATTGAATTAACTAGTGGTTAGATATCATCTACACTTTTGTTGTTGTTGTTGTTGTTGATGGGGAAAATTCTCTCATTTACTGATGAACTCTTTCAAAGTTCCAGGCACCCCATTCCATTACACAAACCAAAAGAGTTTTGTCCAAGATCAATTTCTGTGGATTTAACCTGGTCCGTGTTTCTCTATCTTGGGTTGAGCTGACTCTAACTGAATCCTATAGATGATGGATTCTGAAGACACTCATCTACTATTTTTAGTTTCTCTGTTAAGATTCTTTATTTTTAACAACAGTAACAACAAAGATTTATGGGCTGGCGCTGTGGCACAGGGAGTTAAAGCCCCAGCCTGCACCACTAGCATCCCATATGGGTTTCACTTGAGTCTCAGATGCTCCACCTCAGACCCAGCTCCCTGTTAATGGGCCTGGGAAAACAGTGGAGGATGGCCCAAGTCCTTGGACCCCTGCCCCTGCGTGGGATACCTGGAAGAAGCTCCTGGCTCCTGGCTTCAGATTGGCTCAGCTCCAGCCGTTGTGGCCATTTAGGGAATTAACCAGCGGATGGAAGACCTCTCTTTCTGTCTCTACCTCTCTATGTCACTCTGCTTTCAAATAAATAGGTTTTTTTTTTTTTTATTTATTTGAAAGACAGAGTGACAGAGAGAGGGAGACACAAAGATACATACAGAAAGACAGAGAGCAACATTGTCTTGCATCTGCTGGTTCCTTCCCAAATGGCTGCAGTAGCTGGGACTGGGCCAAGCTGAAGCCTAGAGCTCAGACTGCCATCCTGGTACTAGGGTCCAAGTACTTAGGTCATCACCTGCTTCTCAGGTGCATTAGCAGGGAGCTGGATGGGAAATGGAGCAGCCAGGACTCAACAGGTGCTTGAATATAGGATGCCTGCTTAACCCAATGCATGGCAATGCTAGCCCCTCCTTTAAGATCCTAAAAGTGGAGTATCCTCTGTTTTCTTTTTTCTTCAACTTTTGTTTAGTAAATATAAATTTTCAAAGTACAACTTTTGGATAATAGCAGCTTTTCCCCCAATATCCTCCCTCCTACCTGAAACCATCCCATCTCCCACTCCCTCTCCCATCCCATTCTTCATCAAGATTCATTTTCTTTCTTTTTTTTTTATTTGACAGGTAGAGTTAGAGACAGAGAGAGAGAGACAGAGAGAAAGGTCTTCCTTCCATTGGTTCACTCCCCAAATGGCCGCTATGGCTGGCGCTGCGCCGTTCCGAACCCAGGAGCCAGGTGCTTCTTCCTGGTCTCCCATGCGGGTGCAGGAGCCCAAACACTTGGGCTATCCTCCACTGCCCTCCTGGGCCACAGCAGAGAGCTGGACTGGAAGAGGAGCAACTGGGACTAGAACCTAGCACCCATATGGGATGACGGTGCTGCAGGTAGAGGATTAACCAAGTGAGCCATGTCGCCAGCCCCAAGATTCATTTTCGATTATCTTTACATACAGATCAATTTAGTATATACTAAGTAAAGATTTCAACAGACCAACAGACTGCACCCACACAGACACACAAAGTATAGAGTACTGTTTTAGTAGTAGTTTTACCGTTAATTCGCATAGTACAACACATTAAGGACAGAGATCCTGCATGGGGAATGAGGTGCACAGGGACTCCCGTTGTTGATTTAACAATTGACACTCTTATTTATGACATCAGTAATCACCCGAGGCTCTTGTCATGAGCAGCCAAGGCTATCGAAGCCTCTTGAGTTCACAAACTCCAATCTTATTTAGACAAGGCCATAGTCAAAGTGGAAGTTCTCTTCTCCCTTCAGAGAAAGGTACCTGCTTCTTTGATGGCCAGTTCTTTCCACTGGGATCTCACTCACAGAGATCTTTCATTTAGGTTATTATTATTATTATTATTATTTTGGCCAGAGTGTCTTGGCTTTTCATGCCTGTGAAACTCTCATGGGCTTTTTAGCTGGACCCAAATGCCTTAAGGGCTGATTCTGAGTCCAGAGTGTTGTTTAGGGCATCTGCCATTCTATGAGTCTACTGTGTATCCCACTTCCCATGTTGGTATCCTCTGTTTTCTAACAGAGCTATTACCAAGTGACAGTCATGCTAATATTTTTTATAGCCAATGCAGTTGACTCAGGTAAAGGGGAAAAAGATCCCATATCTATCCTTCTTCCTTGCATGAATTTTCTTACGTGAACAGTACTGTCTAATCCTTAATATGTTCTCTAGAGACATTTTATTACCTCTATTCTACATTTACAGAATATCCAAGAACAGTTCCAGCATGTCTGGAATATTGTCCAAAGATCTCTTTGAATGTTTCACCTTTCAATTCATCCTATTTGTTCTGAATAGATGTGCACATTCTCTTTATGCCTCTTTAAATAATTAAGCCATTACCTAAGGCAAAAAGAATGAATGAGGTTTGAGATCTGAAAGTTTGGGAACATCACAGAACTGGTAAAATAGTGAGGCCCCAGAATGAAATCATCAAGGATCTAAGTCTGCCAGACATAGGGTTTTTTTTCCTATTCCATAAATTCTGGAAAACACAGTTCTCAAGTCATGAACCAGTCTCTTAGTTTTATAATATTTTGCTTTGTTGGACTTACTTAGTATGCAACTGTATGACTTCTTCTTATACCAGCAAATTGTATTATCCCAAGTTGTACTTTTTTTTCTATCTCAGTTTATTACAAATTAAGGTTGTTTACAAACAAGATCATATGAATGTTAACTCTTTCTGAAGGTGAGATTCTATTGATTAGGGTCTTAAGGATTTTATCTATATTGGAAATTATAATTGCTTTCACTAGGCTGACACTCACAGCTCTATGTCATTAGCACTCACTGGGGAGGAGTCCAAGATGCCACTGATTTTTTCTTAGAGCAAATCCAGCATCAGCAGTGAGTAGGGTTCTGGGCCCCCAAGGAAAACCCTTGTGGCTTGTGGACCCAGGGGCGGGTAGAGTCAGAATACAGTTGGTTGGAAAATCGCAAGTGATTTGATTCCAGTGCTTGTGGATGTGATCTACCACAATAGAAACGCAGGCCAGCCATTGTCCAGGCATCTGCATATGAAGTGACTAGAAGATTCATTCAGACAAAGCTCTTCTTGGAAATTCTCTCCATGCAGACAGCCAAAGTACTTAACGTGAGAAGTTGTAAGCTCATGGTTACAACTTCAGGATAACCCAGTTTCACCAATACCAGGTGGCAACTTCAACCTCAAGGATTATTATTTTTTTCCAAGAGAAGCAGGTTCTTTTATCCTTTAGTCAAATGACAAGCCGAGTGAGGCATAGTTCCCCAAATAATCGGTTTATCACAAGGTACATAAAAGTAGAATAAGCGAATGAGATATATGAAAAGACAGGGAAAAGAAGCAAAAGAAAATTACTCAAGAACAGAGTGCCAGTAACAAACCAAACAGCCTGCGTCCACAGGGGAAGTTTTCCAAATGGCCCAGGTGAACATGTCCCCTTCCGGGTGATACTGGACCATTCTGGGTGTCCTCAAGCAGTCAGCAATGAAGTAAAGGGCTTTTTCACTCTAGCAGAACCTGTTACAGTAGCTGATGCCTTCGTAGAGTGAACTCTTGCAGAGGAAATCGTCACAGGGACCTTTGTCTCCAATGCCAGTTTGAAAGCACTAGTATTTTTTTTTTTTTTTTTTTGTCCCAGAAGGTGTACTATGTTAACTTCCAGATGTCAGCCTCAGAGGGAGTAGTCCTGGACCCAAACTATCTCATTTGCATATGGATACACAATTGTCAATGTGGCTGTCAGCCAGTTTGAAGAGTTAGGCCTCCTTGTTATCTGGCTCAGTGACAGCTTGTTGTTACAGGAAAAGGCTCAAAATGGAGTTAGTGCTGTCAAAGCAGAGTCATATTAATCGGAATCAAAATAGCAATGTATTCAGATTCACAAGACTCCTAACACTGCAAAACACATCACTACAAGAAACTGCGTGCTGGGGCTGGCGGCGTTGTGGCGCAGCAGGTTAAGTTGCCGCCTGATGATGCCGGCGTGGGAAGTCGGTTCGAGCCCTGGCAGAAGGCAGTGGGTAAATGGCATGAGCGCTAGGGCGGATGCCACCCACGTGGGTGACCCTGATGGAGTTCCTGGCTCCTCCCCAGCCCTAACAGCCTTTGGGGGAGTGAACCAACAGATGGACGATCTTTGTCTCTGTCTCTACCTCTTTGTGTGAGCCCATCTCCCTAACTCTGGGTTTTAAATAAATAAGTCTTAAAAAAAAAGTTGCATGCTGCTGGGGTCCCACTGGAAAAGAATCCAAAAAGCCTCTGTATTTCAAATTAACTTGCGTTTCCTAAGTTCTGCTCCATCCCTTCCAGTTCACTACTTACTTCCCCCTCCCTTCTGTTGCTGAGTTTCTGCATAGTTAACCCATCTCCCGCCTCCCCAGTGTTTCATAGGACTTTATATATATTTTTACTTGCATCTTTGGGTAGAATTATAAATCAGGTGTGTCCTTCTCGGTTTCTTCATTAGATTGTGGTCAAATTACTCTCCCAGATCGCGTGAACAAAATGAATGGGATTTTTGCTTTTAAAAAAAAATTGCACTTTGGGACTGAGCCTCCTGCTGAGAACTAAGGAGGCCGAGCCTACGGATGGCAGAGACGGGTCAATCCACGCCCGGCGTTGGGTCGGGGGTGGAGGAGTCGGAAGTGGTTGGGGTTTGGGGGAGGAGATCCGCTCACACACAGGAGGAGAGCATTGCGCCGCCATATCTGCTGCCGCCGCCGCAGTTGCGAATGCAGCATCGGCACTCCGCTGCCTCGCGGTGCCGCTAAGGTTCCTGCCGCTACTCCTTGACCCTCCGCTCTTGCTGCCTTCCCCGTGCCGGGGCAGCCCGCCCTTTCTGGCTTGTTGACCTCGCCACACACCGGGTTCTAAGAGCATGGATCCCGGCAGCAGCAGCAGCAGCGACTCGGCGCCCGAGTGCTGGGACCAGGTGGACATGGACACCCCGGGTTTGGCCCCGAGTGGGGACGGAGCCGCCTCCTCGGCAGTGGCCGAGGCCCAGCGCGAGCATCTCAGCTCGGCCTTTAGCCGTCAGCTCAACGTCAACGCCAAACCCTTCGTGCCTAACGTACACGCCGCGGAGTTCGTGCCGTCCTTCCTGCGGGGCTCGGCCCAGCCGCCCACCCCCGCCGCCGGCTTGGGCAGCATGGATGAGACCTGCACCAGCGCGGGAGACCCTGCTGCAGGTAAAAGGCTGGGACGGGGGGCACCTGTGGAACCTCCCAAAGAACTGTTAGTGTGTGAAGGTTCCAATTCAGCCGTTACCATGGAACTTTCAGAACCTCTTATAGAAAATGGAGAGGTGGAAATGATCTTAGAAGAATCATGGGAGCACAGTAAAGAAGTAAGTGAAGCAGAGCCTGGGGGTTGTGTCTTGGGCGATTCGGGGCCCCCAGAAGAAAGTGGCCAGGAGATGATGGAGGAGAAAGAGGAGACCAGAAAATCCAAATCCTCTGTCGTACCCTCAGGTGCTCCCAAAAAAGAACACGTAAATGTGGTGTTCATTGGGCATGTGGATGCCGGCAAGTCCACCATTGGAGGGCAGATAATGTTTTTAACTGGAATGGTTGACAAAAGGACACTTGAGAAATACGAACGAGAAGCTAAGGAAAAAAACAGAGAAACTTGGTATTTGTCCTGGGCGTTAGATACCAACCAGGAAGAACGAGACAAGGGAAAAACCGTAGAAGTGGGTCGTGCCTATTTTGAAACTGAAAAGAAACATTTCACGATTTTAGATGCCCCTGGCCATAAGAGTTTTGTCCCAAATATGATTGGTGGTGCCTCTCAAGCTGATCTGGCTGTGCTGGTCATCTCTGCCAGGAAGGGAGAGTTTGAGACTGGATTTGAAAAAGGTGGACAGACGAGAGAACATGCGATGTTGGCCAAAACAGCAGGGGTAAAACATTTGGTTGTGCTTATTAATAAGATGGATGACCCCACGGTGAATTGGAGCTGTGAGAGGTATGAAGAATGTAAAGAAAAACTGGTGCCGTTTTTGAAAAAAGTCGGCTTCAGTCCCAAAAAGGACATTCACTTCATGCCCTGCTCAGGACTGACTGGGGCTAACATTAAAGACCAGTCAGAGCTCTGCCCCTGGTACACTGGATTACCATTCATTCCGTATTTGGATAATTTGCCAAACTTCAACAGGTCGATTGATGGGCCAATCAGGCTCCCAATTGTTGACAAGTACAAGGATATGGGTACTGTGGTCCTGGGCAAGCTGGAATCGGGATCCATTTATAAAGGCCAACAGCTCGTGATGATGCCAAATAAACACAATGTGGAAGTTCTTGGAATTCTTTCTGACGATACTGAGACTGATTTTGTGGCCCCAGGTGAAAACCTCAAAATCAGGCTGAAGGGGATTGAAGAAGAAGAGATTCTTCCCGGATTCATCCTTTGTGACCCTAGCAATCTTTGCCATTCCGGACGCACATTCGATGTCCAGATAGTGATTATTGAGCACAAATCCATCATCTGTCCAGGTTATAATGCGGTGCTGCACATCCACACTTGCATTGAGGAAGTTGAGATAACAGCCTTAATCTCCCTCGTCGACAAAAAGTCAGGAGAAAAAAGTAAGACACGGCCCCGCTTCGTGAAGCAAGATCAAGTGTGCATTGCCCGATTAAGGACAGCCGGGACTATCTGCCTTGAGACTTTTAAAGACTTTCCTCAGATGGGCCGCTTCACTTTGAGAGATGAGGGTAAGACCATTGCAATTGGAAAAGTTCTGAAACTGGTTCCAGAGAAGGACTAAGCAGTTTTCCAGATGCCTCTGCACGATACTGTGAGGATAATTGACTGCCAATGTCCACCACCTTCTCTTATTTAATGCCCATGGATAGACTTCTTTCCATATTTTGCAAAAGGAAATTTCACAGCAAAAACCCATGTTTTGTCAGCTTTCTCATGTTGAGATCTAAGTTATGTCACTGTTGACTTTACCTTCAAGTTTCCTCCCTCTATACCACTCTGCTTTCTTGGACAGAATCAGTAATAGCTTTGTAAGTGATGTGGATGTAATTGCCTACAATAATGAAAAATTAATATATTTTTAATTTTTCATTTTCCTTTAGGGAATTTAGACAACCTTTGTCCACGCCAGCCAATCAGAGTGTGTCAGTGTGTGTGTACATGTTAAAAAGACAACTAACATGTCAATAAAGTATTCCATCTGAACATATTTTCGGTATTCGAAATGCTTTTGACTAATGTTAAAAGTTGTATGTAATACTATTCAATTAGATTTTTACTTTCTCAACTAACTGTATGTTTTATCACTTGAGCTTTTAAGAACTCATTCACTCACTGTTTTAAACAAGGAATTGACAAACAATGTGCAAGTTTGTGTTAAGGGAAAAATTTTAATTTTGAAAAAAATCATTTTAGGGCTCTTCCCAGTGAACTGTTTTCTGTGTCCAAGTCCCGTCAATAAAGGAGCTCTTCTGCTTCCTCACTTGTGATTTGAAAATGAAAGGCTCAGGACATGTTGTTTATATTCCATCAAGTCTTGTAACATTGAGCATGACCAAATTATAAAAATACTTGGGATTCTGACTCATATAGTGACTAGACTCTTAACCATCTTAACCCACTCCTTGGTTTTGTTCTCCCTGAAACCTGTGATATGTGGGGCACAATAAGGGGGTGTGACTACTAACAAGATAACTGTCACAGTAGGGCTGTAGGTTATTTAGTGGTAAATAACAGCTCGGGATGGTTCTGGGCTGGGAAAGGAGAACATTCCATCCTTCTACTTTTCAGTGCTTGGGATTGGTAAGAAATGTGGAAGGTTGCTTTTATAATCATCACTGCCCCCTTCGGGGATCAGAAGCAGGAGGAAATTCTCTGATCAATTTCTTGGGGGTAAAAAACAATTCTGTATTCTGAGATGGTTGTATTTAGAACCTGCATAAATGTCAACATCTGAAGGGCTCTGTGTTGGCAAGTGAGTAGTAGCCCAGTGCAAACACACATTCTCTGGTGAGCAGAGCCAGTTTTTCTTCCCCAGGAGCATTAGCAGGGAGCTGGATCGGAAGTGGGGCACCCAGGACTCGAACCAGCGTCCATATGGGATATGGCCACAGCGTTGGACTCCAGAGCCAGTTTTTCTTAGACGCAGCAGCACACTTGCAGTAAGACAGTTTGCTTTGTGTGCAAACCCCATAGGTTTGGCCTGATTCAACAGGTGTGGGGACTGCTCAACAGCAGTGGGCTCCTGCTCAGGCAAAAGCTGTGGCCTCTTCTCTGTGGTCCCCTTTGTTTGTATACGCATACACCGGCAATGTGTATGACTTGTCAGATTGGCACTGGTCTTGCCAGGACATTAATAGCAGGTTCTACTGTGAATTATCCATCATAGATCTTCAGGGCACTCACATGGTAAATGGAAATTTTTTACTTTGTGCTATGTCAGCTAACTTAATCCATAGGGATGGATCCAGTTCTTTAAAGCTAAGAATGGCAGTGGAAAATTTTTCCTGTTTGTCATAATAGTTCCTTCTCTTGGTTCTGTGTGCTGAACTTTGTACAAAATATAGACCAGTTCAATACTTCATGAAAGCTTTGCCCTGGCATCCACCTTTCTACATACTTGTTTTCGGGGCCTGTGTTGTGGCACACTGGGTTAAGCTACCACTTGCAACACTGGCATATCATATCAGAGCTCCAGTTTGAGTCCTGGCAGCAGTGGAGGATGACCAAGGTGATAGGGCCCCTGCACCCATATGAAAGATCTGGATGGGATTTGGGCTTGAGGCTTCAGCTGGCCTAGCCCTAGCCATTGGGGGCATTGGGAAGTGAACCAGCAGATGGAAGATTTCTTCCTGTCTGTCTCTCCCTCTGTCATTCTGCCTTTCAAATACATAAATCTTTAAAAATTCAGAAAAAATATTTTTTTAATTTTTTTTATCTTTGACAGGCAGAGTGGACAGTGAGAGAGAGAGAGAGAGAGAGAGAGAGAAAAGTCTTCCTTTTGCCGTTGGTTCACCCTCCAATGGCCACCGCGGCCGGCGCATCAAAGCCAAGAGTCAGGTGCTTCTCCTGGTCTCCCATGCGGGTGCAGGGCTCAAGCACTTGGGCCATCCTCCAGTGCACTCCCGGGCCATAGCAGAGAGCTGGCCTGGAAGAGGGGCAACAGGGACAGAATCCGATGCCCCGACCGGGACTAGAACCCGGTGTGCCGGCGCCGCTAGGTGGAGGATTAGCCTATTGAGCCGCGATATTTTTTAAATATTATTTTTATTTATTTGAAAGACAGAGTTACAGAGAGAGAAGGAGAGGCAGAGAGACAGAGAGAGGTCTCCCATCTGCTGGTTCACTCTCCAGATGGCCGCAACGGCCGGAGCTGCGCCGATCTGAAGCCAGGAGCTTCCTCTGGGTCTCCTGCATGGGTGCAGGGGCCCAAGGACTTGGGCCATCTTCCACTGCTATTCCAGGCCATAGCAGAGAACAGGATTGGAAGAGGAGCTGCTGGGACTAGAACCAGCACCCATATGGGATGCTGATGCCTCAAGCCAGGACTTTAACCTACTGCGTCACAGCGCCGGCCCCAGAAAAAATATTTTGATACTGCATCAATCTTGCTTTTTAGTAATTTACCAACACAGTAAGATTGTATATGTCTTCCACCAATAAGCCAAAGCCACAAGCAAAGACAGAACTTTTAAATTTTTTTTTTTATTTGAAAGTAGATTCAGAGAGGGAGAAATAGAGATGGGGAGAGAGGGATCTTCCATTTACTGGTTCACGCCCTAAATGGCCGCAACAGCCAGGGTTGGGCCAGGCCGAAGCCAGGAAGAAGGGGCTTCATCTGGGTGTCCCACATGGATGCAGGGGTCCAAGCACTTGGGCCATCCTCTGCTGCTTTCCCAGGTGGGTTAGCAGGAAGCTGGATCGCAAGTGGAGCAGCTGGGATTCAAAGCAGCGCCCATATAGCATGTTGGTGTTGCAGGTGGCAGCTTTACCTGCTACACAACACCAGCCCCAAAGACAGAACTTTTATCCCCATCCATCGTGGATAATTTCCTGTTCAAACCTGGCTCTTAAGTGTCTTTCTCATCAGCCAGTTACGTAGCAATTTCTCTACCAAGCAGCTCTGAATGTAAATTTTAAAATCTGCAGAGAAAAGTACATAAATCTTTGGAAGTACATCTTGGAAACCAATCATTTGCATTTCAGTGAGAAACAGGTCATCCAAGTGGGTGGACACACCAGCGTTTAGCTCTTTAAGAAAGTAAATATATAGAGCTGCTGTTGTAGCTGTTTTAAGCTGTCCCTTGTGACACTGACAGCCCATGTGAACATGGCTTTGAGTTCTGGCTGCTCTAATTCCCATCCAGCTCCCTGGTAATGTGCCTGGGAAAGCAGAAGAAGATGGCCTAAGTGCTTGGGCTCCTGCTGCTCACATGGGAGACACAGACGTAGTTCAGGCTCCTAGCTTTGGCCTGGCCATTTAGAGATGAACCAGCCAATGGAAGATCTCTCTCTGTCTCTGTGCCTCTGCCTTTCAAATGAAAAAATAAATAAATCTTAGATACAAAATAAACATACGTAATGCTGCACAAATTTTTGTAATGCATAATTTTGTGTATTTGAAAGGTGGGCAGACAGAAACAGAAATCTCCTATTTGCTAGTTCAGTCTCCAAATGCCAGCACTATCCACTCCATTCCCTATCACATTAAACCTTAACTTTGAAGTGTTTATTAAGTAAAACTAATCAATTAACTTAATTGAAAGGCTGAGGAGGGTCTAGTCTTGTGGTACAGTCATTAAGTGTCAGTTTACAGCTCCACCATCCCACATGGGAGCCAGGGTTCCATTCCCAGTTGTTCTGCTTCCTATGCAGCTTCCTGCTAATGTGCCTGGGAAGGCAGCAAAAATATCCCAACTGCCTGGGACCCTGCCATGCACAGGGGAGACCAACATGGAGTTCAGGGCTTGTGGCTTCAGCCTGGCTTCAGACTCTGAGGCTATTTGGGGTATGATCCAGTAGATGGAAAATATCTCTCTGTCTCTCCTTTTCTGTCCCTGTCATTCAAGCAAATACATCTTTAAAAAAGAGTAAGGGAAAGGTCGAAAGACAGAGGAACACAGGACAGACAGCCAACCAGAAATCTCCCATGTTCTCTTTCTCTCCACACATTTCTGCAAGGGCTAGAGATAGACCAGGCTGAAGCCAGCGCCAGGAACTTAATCCAGATCTCTGAGCTCTGTGACAGTATCCCATGTGCTTGGACCATCACCTGCCACCTTCATCAGTGTGTATTGACAGGAAGCTGCAAATGGGAATGGAGCCTGCACTGGATTCCAGGCTTTCCAATGTGGGATGTGAGGAACCCCAAAAATATTGTCCCTGCTGCAACAGGTGCGCATCCCATAGCTTTTCCTTTGGAAAGCAAAGTCTTACTGATTTTAAAGGCAGACTGAGAGTCTTGTAGAGGCAGTAGGAGAGAGAGTGAATGAGAGCACCAGAGAGAGAGACAGAGAGACAGAGACAGAGATAAAGAGAAAGATGTCCCATCAGGAACTAAAGTTCACAAATGTCCACAAAAGCCACTGCTTTTTTCTATCATTTTAAAGCTTCATTTTTATATGTATATTAATTTATTTAAAAAGCAGCAAGGGTGCCAACATTGTTTGGAGGAAATTTTTTATTGTAATACTTATTTATTTATTTATTTATTTGAAAGGCAGAGTTATAGAGAGACAGATGCACAGAGAGAGTTAGAGAGGTCTTCCATCTGCTGGTTTACTCCCCAAATGGCCACAACGGCTGGAGCTGAGCCGATCCAAAGCCAGGAGCCAGGAGCTTCTTCGGGGTCTCTCACTTGGGCCATCTTCCAGTGCTTTCCCAGGCCATAGCAGAGAAGTAGATTGAAAGTGGAGCAGCTGGGACTCAAACGGGTGCCCATATGGGATGCCAGCACTGCAGGTGGTGGCTTTACCCACTACGCCACAGCGCCAGCAGCTGGAGAAAAGTTTTTCTACAGCTTGCAATTCCAGTAATATATATGGGATCCACTGTGTTCCATGCCAGGCTGCCCTGGTTTCCATCCAGCTGCCTGCCAACGTGCCTGTGAAGGAAGCAGTAGATGGCCCAAGTCCTGCAGCTATGCCCACCCGTCTGGGAAACCCAGTTGGAGTTCTGGGATCCTGGCTTTGTTTGAGACCATTTGAAGTG